TAACTGTATAATTTGTATGATTTACTTATTCCCTTAATTTATTAGGTAGACAGTACTAGCTATTGAAAACACATGGAAATAATGTATGTAGTTTTCATTTTGCACGGATTGCTGTACCTAACATATAAATAATTGGTTACGTACAATGCCAGGAAATGGCACAACGTTACTTATGTACAAGGCCACGAGTTGTAAATTTCCCATACTGTTTAGAGTGATGTTGTCATTTGTGTTTACAGTGACTTGTGATTTTAAAAACTAATTAAAGGTGAGATATATATGGGTTGTCTGTGTATTGTTTTGGGTGGGAAATTGGCTTATGTCTGTATTCCAAGATTCCTATTGCGGGTTGCTTGTTTCTGTTCCATATTTGGTTGGATCTAACTGAAGGGTTTTTTGCAGTGTGGTTTATCAACTAACGATGTGTTTCGCTTCGTATTGATTTGTTATGACTTGTGTCAGTAAATTAGTTGAAGGGTTTTTTTGCGGTGTGGTTTATCAACTAACGATGTGTTTTGCTTCGTATTGATTTGTTATGACCTGTTTCGGTAAACCCAATATCAATGACAGTAAAATACGAATTTTGTTCAAGTGGGTTTGCAAAATTACATACCAGCACATGCATTTTGTATATAATCCAAGTGGCAGTTAATTTTGTGTGTTACTTGGAGAAAGTAACCCAACGAACTCGTTACTTTATCTCCATGCCGAATGGTATATGAATTACGAGTTACGAACAGGAGTTGTGAAATTATTTAATGTTTACTATGGAAGTATGGGTTTATTGTTAGTAAAATTATGGTGGGCCTATATCGACAGCAACGAAGCAGTAATTTAAAGTTGACAAGTTCAAGAAGAAAATCAAGCAATTGTGGTATTGGTTCAAATGCCTGAAATGGATGAAGACTTCTTTCGATGAAGTGATGGTAACAAAGTAGAAAGTAACAAAGTAGAAAGTAGAAAGTAGAAAGTAAGTTGTTGTGTTGTTGTGTTGTTTGTAACAAAGTAGAAAGTAGAAGGGAAAAAACTACACAGAAGTTACAATGTAGAAAGTAAGTTGTGTTGTTGTTTATGTCCTCTCTCTCTGCAAACATTCTTCCCTTTATAGCTATAAAATTCCCACGACCCCATGATCTGCCAATTTTGCAACTGCTTTTGTGCAACTTCTATAACTGCACAGTTATTTCCGTGTATTGAAACCACATAAAAGCTTCACTTGTACCTGTCGAAGTGCATATAATTGAAGTTGCCACATGTGCCCAGGTCCTTTTAGCCTTTCCTCGACAGATACAGACTCCCAATTCGTTCATGTTTCCTCTTGGAGGGTGGCCACTAAATCCATGAGCACTGCCAGTAACTGCTCCAGCGTGTAAGTCAGGTGGCATGCAAGATTCAATGTTAGTTGAATGGAGCAGCTGTTGGGAGGATGTGGGAAAAATAGGTGCAAAGAGGAATTTTTAATCTAATATCCAATCAGAATGTAGGTGAAAATATGAGTGAACTTTTTTTTAAAAAAAAGTAGTTCCCATTTTTTGGATTATAAACCCGAGATGTATATTTTATTTTTGATATAAATAAGTTGTGTATTTTCGTTACGTAAAATGTAGGACAACAATTGTGTTTAAGTCATTACAATACAGAAAAAGGTTATTTCAAACGTATTTTCAAGTTTACCGACATTGAATATATTTTGATTAAATTACAGGGAAAATTCAATATTTGGCAGAGTTTGATGATTCATAGTCAGGGGCAGTAACAGTGAGTGGCCAAGTGTTGCGGTTCATTGGCCCAGTTTGCAAGGATTGTGGTTATGTTTAGTGGATAGTATTCTGTCGATTTTTGTCTCATAATGATGAGGGACATGCCCCACAATGGTGAAAAGGAAGGTCGACAGGGAAGAGTCAATATTTGGCAGAGTGGACTTGAAGATTCGAAGTCAGGGGGCAGTTACAGTCGCAGTCATGGTGTAGACGTGTGGGATCATGCAATGATGGGCCACAAAAACAGTATACGGATATTGAAACCAACGATCTCCGTTCTAGGCATTCCAAGTATACTAAACCTCCACTTCTATCTGTCGATCTCCCTTTTCTTGTGTTTATTTCATGGCCATCAACTGTTTGAAACTTTTGTCGACAGAGCAAGGCTCCTGCTTTGTCTCATGCTTCCTCCTGAAAGTATGCCCACTAACTCATAATGATGAGGGGCATGCCCCACAATGGTGAAAAGGAAGGTCGACGGGGAAGAGTCAATATTGGTTTTCAGGGGACTTGAAGATTCGAAGTTAGGGGGCAGTTACAGTGGCAGTTATGGTGTAGACGTGTGGGATCATGCAATGATGGGCCACAAAAACAGTATACGGATATCAATACTAAACCTCCACTTCTATCTGTTGAGCTCCCTTTTCTTGTGTTTATTTCATGGCCACCAACTGTTTTAAACTTCTGTCGACAGAGCAAGGCTCCTGCTTTGTCTCATGCTTCCTCCTGAAAGTGTGCCCACTAACTCCATGAATGGTGGTAAAAACTTCCCCTATCACTTCTAGGTGACCCACATGCAGAGAGCCCACTTTCAGGCCGTGGACATTCCTTCAGACTTGGCCACATGCCCTCGATTAAGTGGACCATCTGCCGACAGAGACTGGCAAAACTTGGTGCAAACAATGGCCCCCATGTTCAAGTTAAATATTGCGGAAGTGATTGAGACCCCCTCCAATCACCACCTGCACCACCCCCACTCCCCCCTCCACACACACACGTGGGGGCTGCTGATTAGAGAAGGAAAAAAAATAAGAAATTAAAAAAAATAAAAAAAGTGGCCAATCAGAGAGAGAGGGGGTCATGGGGGTCCCCCCTTGTGGGGGTCCAAGTCATATGATATTTAACTTCAACGAGGGGGCCATTGTTTGGGCCCAATAGCAAATTTCTTAATACGGGCCCAAAACAAACATAAACTACAGCCCAATATAAGAGCTTTTAAATATACTGGCCCCCATCATAAGCTATAAAAGACCCACCCTTTCAACTTCAAACCACTTCATTTCCCTTTGATTCGAACTCCCCAGACTGTACTCTTTCTTCTCAACCATTGCCGTTCAAAACCAGAGCACCACAAAACCCTAAGCCATGGCGCCGAAAAAATCTCAACCATCTCCATCTGAGGAGAACAATGAAGACCTACTCCGCTTCCCAGACCCTATCAGAGCACGTATCGCTCCTCTAAAATTTGTTGCAACCCTATTGCCCAGCACAAGCTCTGTCGCTAAGGCTACTCTAGGCCCTACCTTCGCGTCTTACTTCCCAGACGAGCTAGCTCCATACTATCTCCTTGGTAATGGTGAGAACCTTCTTCTCAACCAAGCTGGACTCAAGTGGACTAATTGGAATGTCAGCAAAAACCCACTCAGAGGGTGGAGGTCACCAGACTCTGATTGGCGAAACTGGACCAGGAGAATTGAAGGTCACGACGCTGAAGTATGGAAACACCAAGGCATTGGTGAAGCAATTAGACTGTCGACTAAAATTTATGACGTGGACAAAGGGTTGATTGCTGCTGCTGCATGCTTTTGGTCGCAGTTTAGTAACTCCATACTCCTCAATTTTGGTATGATTTCCCCTACCATCTTAGATATAGCTCACTTGACTGGTCTCCCAATCTTGGGCAATCCAATTCATGCTCTCCTTGAGCCTCCAAAAGTGACATTTACTTTAAACACTGACATGTGCTATACAGAATTTGCCAAAAAATACCAAGGCAAGCGTGGTTCCCCTGTCGATGACAAAGAAAGAACTGCTTTTTACTTACTTTGGCTTTGTGAGTTCGTTTTTTGTGTCCCTGGGTACAAGATCACGAAAGAATACCTCCCCCTTGCCTTGTGTATGCAAGACGGCCAACTTATGGCTTTAGCCCCTTATCTTCTTGCCACCCTTTACAAGGCCCTATTTTCCTTTGTCGACAAGAAGATTTCTGGCAACTGTGGTGGCCCCTTCTGGCTCTTCCAGGCCTGGTTGTATGCCTATTTCCCTGAGGCACGACCCCCACCACCTAACACCTTGAAACCTGTTTGCCACTCCTATGCTGAGCAACTGCTCACTTATAACAGCCATTCAAAACTCACTTTCACAAATCATCTTACCATGTTTTATAACCTTCCTTCGCAGAGACCTTCCAACCTGTACATGCCATTTCAAAACTTTGAATTCTCCTCCAGTAGACTTCGCTTCCTCTTCACAGACCCTTCTGATTTACACAATGAGCAAGTCCAAGAACAAAATGAGAGTTGGAGACACATTCTCACCTGTAGACATGTCTTGGTTGGCTGTTCCATATCCTCCGCCAAGCTATCCAGCTGCAGTTTTGAGACATACTGTCCCAATCAATGGTCCAGGCAATTTGGTCTTTCCCAGGCTATCCCTTATCCTTATTTCCACCCAACCATCCATGAGGAGATTGGGTCCAGAATCCACTTGAAAGATCCTACACAAGCTGAATCCATTCTGACAGAGAACACCAAACTTTTCCAAGATTTTGGCCCCTTCTTCTTCAAACCTGCTTCGGACTGCTCGGCTGCTTTTGACCATTGGTGGGGACTTATGACTGCCATTATTTTCTGCAAGCCACTTGAAAGCTGCCTTAACGATACTTGTATTCATATTCAGGGTCGCATATCCTCGCCTTCCAAGCTTAAGGCTACAGGTATCCTTCCTTCATATACTTCATATCCCTGACTGTGTCATGCAATTTGTTTTGTTTTTTTCTCTACAACACTAACTTGTTTAACCTTTGACAGCCAAAATTGGGCCTATTGCTGAACCATTGGTTAGGGACCAACGTAAAGGCAAGGATCCAATGGATGCAACTACTCAGACAAACACCCCCTCAGTTCCGAAATTAATGGCAGACTCTTTCGCAGCCGCGCAGACACAAGCACAGAGAGGAGCTACCACCCGTACCCCTGCTGGGACAGAGGTCACGGCGAAGAAGAGAGAAGAGCCTTCCACTGCTCCTGCTCTAAGCACAGACCTAAGTGAGTGGGATATCCCTCTCAGCCAAATGGTTGGCCAAACAACATCAAATACTTCAGGGCAGCTCTACCAAGTAAGCCTTCACTTTACATATTTACAGCATCTCAATTTTCATTCACGCCCGACTAATCACTTACTTTTGTGCAGAGAAAAAGAAGGAGATTACTCCTTGCTGCTGTTGATGATAACGATGCTTCCACTTCTCCTCAACACATTCATCAAATTCCCAGTCCAATCAGCAATGTACCCACAGAACCCACTGTACAACCAACTCCACCACCACCTGAAGCATCGCAACAAACTTCCTTACAACCTGCTTCACAGTCTTCGCCACAGCAATCTATACAGTCTGCATCATAACATCCTTCCATTTCTCCTCAACACATTGTCCCTTCTGTCTCTAGCCCTCAACCATCACCATCCAACCTCTCCAATTCCCAAACGTCAAACAAAGAATCACAGAGGATTGAATTTGACATTTCAATCAACAGCCAATCCTCTCCAACAGGTGACAACACAAAATCCCCTCAACCAGAAGTTCACCACAACCAAGGTAAATAGAAATACAAATGTTACTGTTCGTTTGGGAAAAAAAAACTTCTCTTTAAGTAACTGGTATTGTTCTCCAATTTACAGGAATGGACATAATACAGGACTCATCTCCACGACCAATGGGCGAGACAGAACTTGAAGGTCCTCATGACTTTTCCCTGTTAACAGAACCAGAGAAAGAGCCACAAGGCGCTGATGCTGTCATTTCATCAGTACCAGAAACAACTCGTCCTGATGCCACAACCACAGCTGAACAAGGCCAACCGTCTGCGCGCACATTGTCAGGACAGGTACTACCATTTCCAACCTCATCCTATTTACTCTTTATTACTTGCAAGCATATATTCTCACCAAACTATTAATGTTCACAGGCCGTCGATCCATGCCAGGATATTTGAGCAGAACTTTCTATTCTCCAACAAGATCTAGACGAAATATCCCCATTGCCTCAAAGGCTACATCTGTTTGATGCTGAAACTCAACAAACCTTAACCACCTTCATCAACCTCATTAACACCCCAGTTAAAGAAATCATTCTCCACAAACCTGATGAAACCTTGGCCTGTCTTTCTGCTGTTGTAAACCTCTCCCCTAATCCTTTCAACCCCATTCAACTAAAGCAATCGGCCAAGATCATCACAGAATGGCCAACCCTTTCAGAGATGAATACCTCCCCCTTGCCTTGTGTATGCAAGACGGCCAACTTATGGCTTTAGCCCCTTATCTTCTTGCCACCCTTTACAAGGCCCTATTTTCCTTTGTCGACAAGAAGATTTCTGGCAACTGTGGTGGCCCCTTCTGGCTCTTCCAGGCCTGGTTGTATGCCTATTTCCCTGAGGCACGACCCCCACCACCTAACACCTTGAAACCTGTTTGCCGCTCCTATGCTGAGCAACTACTCACTTAAAACAGCCATTCAAAACTCACTTTCGAAGCAAGGATGATGCTCTCCCAAATTAGACATCGTTCTGCATCCATTCAGACAACTAAAGCTGAGTTGGACCAAGCCCAAGCCATGCTGGCAGATGCTCAATCAGAGTGGGGTGTTCTAGTCGTTCTGTTCCCCAAATCCTAGGCTAGTTTATATATGTATTCTTTTGTATTGCACACCTAGGAATGATTTGGAAAGGTAGGAATGATTGCCTTTTTAATGATAAGATTGTTGATGGGCCTGAATTGGCTGAGATGGTGAAAGTGAGGGTTGCACTTTGCTGTAAGCAAAGTTATAGAGGCCTACAGTATTCAGTGGACGACATATATTGTATTCTGGATAGTATCAAAGTCTCATTTAGGGGGTGGTGTTTGGTGTTTTTTGAAACTGGGGTGCAGGAGTTTGGTCAAGCTGTGGTATGCAGGATTTTGGTCAGTCTGTGGTATTACCATATCTTCTTGGTGGCTACTTTTGCTCTGCTGTGCTTCAATGTTGCTATGCTTTGCCTTATTTTTGGCTTGTTGCTCTGGCTTAGTTTATGGGGTCAAGCATGCTCATTTCTGGTTGCTGCTCTGCTGTGCTTCAACTCTGGTCTACTATATATGTCCTCTGCTGCTGCTATATGGGATCAACGAATAGGCTTAAGTCTGCTGCTGCATATTGGCCTTTTTGCAATTGTTTGAATGATGTTTTGGTGTGCTGTATTGGAAGTCTGCTGCTGGATTGGGGAAAGTTATTGGAGGTCTGCTGCTGGCCTTGTTGTAATTGTTGGTCTACTGCTGTAGTTATTTTTTTTTTTGGAGGTTGAAGGATCAGGCTCAAGTCTCAATGGAGGTTGAAGGTTCAGGCTCAAGTCTCAATGGTGGCTCTATGGTCTGAAGTTTGTTCATGCTGCCTTGGAGTTTCATCTGGTTCCCCTGTTATGTGGTTTTGTGAGGATAAGCTTGGAGTTACATTCTTATTGTTTTCCTTCTGTTTTTGTTTCTCTTTGTTGGTCTCTCACCAACTAACCTCCTCTTTGTTGATGTGTCATTGACACCTTGTATGTGCTTTTTCATCAATACAGTTTTTTGTTTTGCTGAACAAAAAAAAAATTGAATATCAATACTCTGTGTTTTTAATGGTCTGTTGTATGGTTGTTTTTATTTTTTGTGCAATTTTTCACCATTTGTGCATTGTTATGAAGTAATCAATTCCCCTTCAAAGTGCATTATAGTCACCGCTATTTGTTTGTTCTGTGGGCTTTTTTTGCTTTGTTTTGGACAAAATCATAGCATTCAAAAAAATCGAACAAACATAATTCATGTGGTAAAAGCGAACAAACATTACTACTTTCAACTTGCATTGTTTGTTGGACAAATATCACATTGCACTGGACAAACATTACTATAGTCATTTGGGCAAATATGACATTGCATTGTTTGTTCTGTACCCATAACATTGGAATTATGTGTATCACATTACGTTCAGGCCACGATAAAAGCAAACAAACATTACTACTTTCCCTCGTTTGTTCCAGTCCCAAACATTGGAATTATGTGTACAATCAATACGCGTGGGAAATTAGTATTATCACAGCTGCGACCTAAAAGTTGTCACGACAAGCTGATGCAGTAATCCAGTTATGGTTGGGCATCGAAATTACACTCGTACTGGTAGACCATGATAAAATCGCTGCCCTATTTGTTGTAATTGCAATCAATCACATGCACGAACGATACTCGCCCATCTTTGTATTGTTCACATCCATAACGAAGTCAAGCACCAACTTCCGGCGCACAGAAGGATGAAACTATGTACAGAAAGCGAATAACACAAATCAGGTACAGTTACAGCGGTAGGAAATAAACGGATTTATTTCTCAATTGGAAATTAAGCGGTACAATGTACCTTGTGTGGACCGCTGGGTATATCAGGCCACTGCATGTACTTGATCACAAACATCCCATAGTCGAAAGTGCTACAAATGAAATGTAACATTCAGCTTCTCGTAAAATATAAGCAGGTTCGTTAAATGAGTGATTCAGGAGTGAAGTCAATGTGACGCAGGGTTTGTGGATTACTCGTCCAGCTGTTGTAATGGCCTCAAAGGTACGCACGTCTACAGCATATTCATTTCCAAACTATAGTTGCAGTAAGGCATGCATTGTTTGAACCTGTTGCAGAATGAGACGGTTAGTTTATGTGAAGGATGTGACAGTGTGGAAGTAGATTTGTGAAATTCAGCACGACATACCAACATTTTTGCTGTGTTCAGCTTGTTGGTGTCCAGTGTGGCGGATGCCAATGAGTCAAATAAGTACGCCACACGGTCTACCATATCTATTTTTAGGCACAACCAATGATGCCAATGAGTCAAATAGGTACGCCACACGGTCTACCATATCTATTTTTAGGCACACCCAATGTACTCCTCTATAATTGAAAAGCATGTAAATCTACACATAAACATAAACACAAGCGAAGACATTGTTTAGAGGGCATGCGAACATGTACGCACTTTCATATTTACATTGACATTCATGTAAATGGGATCGACATTCATATTACCGACGTCCATATTAAATCTACTCGCTTCAATGGGATGGACATTCATATTACCTTCTGACATGCATCAAGCACCCCAGTATATCTGTCATGTCCAAAATATGATTTGACCATATTTTCATGGTTCAGAGGTTGAGTTTTTTGATTTAGTATCAAAGTCTGCATGTTTAGTGTGTAAAGTTCAGTCAGCCAAAGTTTTCTGAAAATATGTCTTCTGCAATACACAACCGACCTAAAACACTTACTTACCGACACATATACTGGAAAGAACCACGCAGTATGCCTCCCGTCTTTGTGTACTTGCCACTGTCCGTTAGTCAATTGAACCGCGACCAAGTTGATTGGCTGGAACATTGTAACAGACCAGGCAACTTGTGAAATAAGGTTTGCCATTTGTTTAAATGTAATACGAAATACCAATGTCCCTACATGGATATGTCCATCATGCAAATATAGTGGAAATAACATTGTCAGATGCCACGACTTACAGTGTCGGATAGCCATGTCCCTGGTTTCAGCGTGCGCATGTCACGTCGCGTAGCACATTCGCAAGGCATTTCATGCATATTCATAGACACGACAATGTCCCTACATAAAACGTATACATCAACCAATAAGAAGCAACCTACAGCCTAGTAAAACTTAAACGTATCTGGCTTAACTCTACAACATAAGATTAGTTTTTTCTGTTGTACAACTATGGCAGATATTCCTGATTCTACTAGGCTCCAATCCAATGAAGATTAGTTTTAAGTTTTTAAAAAACAAAATGAAAAGACAAAGTTTTAGATATTACAACTTATGACATGTCCAATAGTATTTGCTAAAATAATATGTGAAAATTGAAATGCTCATTTACAGGTCAGTAAGATAAAAAAAAAAGAAACACGTTTTTTACAAACTGGAGCCAACAATATCCCAAAATGATCAAAATGGAAAATGTAAGCAGAGTAGAAGAAAATAGCTAGGGAAAATTACACTTCATTATAAGTTTTCAAAAAAATTTGCAAATCATTGGTAAACTTTATTAAGTTTCATAATTAAAATTATAAAGGTTTCCATGAATTTGTAAATATTTTTGTGAAAATATCAGTGGTTTGCAATTTTCCCAATAGGTACATGTGTGCAGGATAAGACCAAAAGAAGAAAACTTCAGACAGGAAATTTAGCCACTGATCTTTCCGTAGCCCACTGCATTAAATTCAAAGAAAATCCTACATACGACATGGATAAACCCATCATAAACCCATCAAAATCATAGAGAATGAAAAATTAAAGAACTGATACCTACAAGAATCAAATAAACATAGCACGACACATGAAAATTGTGGACTTCAAACTTATTTCACAAATACTACGGAACAGGTTAATTGCGAGTACTAAACTCATCCGTACCTTTCATTGTTTCTGTCGTCAAGTACAGAGTCAACAACTTCGTCTTCGGCCGCTGATAAAACCTCTATGCTCTCCAGTGTTATCAAGTCCTTCTATCAATATAAACAATCAAGTAACATCAACTCCTCCTGTTAATATAAACAATTAACTAACTCACCACTGTTCAGAAATTTAATTTGCAAAGTACATAACACATCCTTATGCATCTAAAATTGGTGAAGCGATGTCTAACCTCTGAATGGAACCGCTTGTCTAACCTGTGCAGTTTGGACAG